AATAGATATTTTCTTACATGGATGCATGAAGTACATCTGAAAAGAAAGGATGGAGTGTTTTAATAAAAGTACTCCTTGCCAAAATCATAATATTCATGTGGAAATGGGTGATCAAAAGTTCTTTCTATGTAGTATATCCCAAAAGGAGAACACCTTATTCATACATTATTCTGGTAAACATTGACCATTGTCAAGTTGACATATAGTATGTTCTAAAATAGAATAATGATATTATCTCAATTAGTTTAAATAAGTCCACAGTGTTTTCTTAATTAAATTTTTCCTTTTAGTGATCTCTTATTGTCCATTGGTGTATTACCAATGCCCGGAAGAGTGCATGCAGGCACTCAAGAAATATTTATTGAAATGAAGTTGCTTGTGTGAGGGCTAGTAGTTGATCAAATGAAGCAGCAAACAAACATTGCCGGGAAAAAGTCAGAAATGGCTTTTGTTTTTCTCACTGGCCTTTTGTTGGAGGGCTTACAAAATATTTTTTATAGTTCATTGGTTTAATAGTTAAATGTTCTGCTAATAAAATTATTCCAATTGTTAAGATAGAGTTAAATAAATCATTATTTTACCCATGGAATTTAGGTATTTCTTGGCTTGAATGAGTCAGTAAAATCTGCTGGAAGGAGGGAAGGGATGAAAGAAGTGAAGGAAGATGAGATGACCATGCCAGTGGCTCTGAGAGTTGCCTTATGTACATCATCCTATATAATAAGAGGCTAATATGCAAATTGACCGAACAGTGGAACTACCAGTTGCTATGACGTGCACTGACCACTAGGGGGCAGATGCTCAACACAGGAGCTGCTTTCTGGGGGTCAGTGCACTCCCACAGAGGGAGTGCCGCTCAGCCAGAAGCCCTGAACCAGGCTCACGGCTGTTGAGCGCAGCTGCAGTGGTGGGAGCCTCTCCCGCCTCTGAGGCAGTCGGACATTCCCCGGCCGGGCTGACCCCCCCTCCCGCCAAGTGCACGAATTTCGTGCACCAGGCCTCTAGTCTCATATAATCATAAAATCCTGTGCGATTTTATCTCCTTTTAGAAACAGGAAACAGGTTTACGCTGCTGTTGTTGCCGCTTCCCAGATCTTGTTTTGGGCCCAGATTCTTGTCTAGAAACTTGGGATTGCCAGTCAGTCTGGTTCTGGAAGCTCTCTGACAACAAGGAGGGGGCTTTAAGTTGGGTTTTACAAAGCAAACTAAGTATTAGTTGAGAATGAATGATCCCCACTTTTCAAATAAATGATAGTATATTCAAATAGATGTGCAAATATAGATGTATAACTCTCTGAACTCAGATAAGTCTTCTGTCCTCACTACTGTACCTAATCTGTCCTTGTTAAGATTACCACTGACCTCCATGTTGCTAAATCCAGTGGCAATTTTTAGCTGTTTTCTTATTTAATCTGTCAGTAGCATTTGATGCAATTTCCCCCCTTCCTTCTTTATATATATACTAGAGGCTCAGTGCATGAAATTCATGCATGGGGGGGGGGGGAGTCCCTCAGCCTGGCCTGCACCCTCTCCAATCTGGGACCCTTGGGGGATGTCCAACTGCCGGTTTAGGCCCGATCCCCGGCAGTTGGTCATCCCCCTTGCAATCCAGGACGCTGGCTCCTAACCGCTCGCCTGCCTGCCTGCCTGTTGCCCTTAACCGCCTCTGCCTGTCAGCCTGATCGCTCCCTAACTGCTCCCCTGTTGGCCTGATTGCTCCATAACTGCTCCCCTGCCAGCCTGATTATCCCTTAACTGCTCCCCTCCTGGCCTGATTGCCCCTAACTGCTCCCCCCTGCCTGCCTGATTGCCCCTAACTGCCCTCCCCTGCCAGCCTGATTGCCCCTAACTGCCTCTGCCTCGGCCCCTTGCCACCATGGCTTTGTCTGGAAGGACGTCTGGAAAACTTCTCGTCTAATTAGCATATTACCCTTTTATTAGTATATATATTTAAACCAGGCTTTCAAGACACCACCCTTTGCTGTTATTTCTCCCATTCCATTGGCCACTCTTTCTTAGTCTCGTTTACTGATCTCTCCTCATTCTCCTGAGGAGTGCCCCAGGATCCATCCAGATCTTAGACCTCTTCTCTTCTCTGTCTACACTCATTCACCAGCTAGTCTCCCAACTTTAAATACCTACTGTATGCTGATCACTCCCAACTTTCTATCTCCAGAGAAGACTGGTTTTCTAACTGTAATCTGATATATCCAATTGTTCACTTGACATTGCCACTTACATGTATAATGGGCATCTCACACTTGACATATTTAAAATTAAGCTCCAGATCATTCTCTTAAAACCTGCCTCTCTGGTAATCTTCCATATCTCAATAAATGGCAAGTCCATCTTTACAGTTGTTCAAGCCAAAAACCTTGGCATGATTCTTGATTTCTCTCTTTTTTTCTTACCCTATTTCCACTGCATCAGCTCTTCTTCCCAAATATCTCCAGAATCTGCTTACTTCTCACTACCCCTGCACCCCAGTCCAAACCATCAAAATCTTTAGTCTCTTGTTACACGAGACTCCTAACTAGTCTGTATCTTTCTGCCCAGGACATCCTACAGCCTGTTCACACAGCAGCAAGTGATGGTCCCAAAATATGGAATATTGCCATTCCTTTACTCACCATTCAGTGACTTGATTCTCATCTTAGAATAAAACTCTAAATCTTTACCATTACCTACAAGGCCCTACAGAATTTGTTCGCCAACCTCCCCACCAGTTAACTCTCTGATCTCCTCTCCTACTTCTATCGCCCTTGCTTACTCATCTCCAGACACAATGGGCTCTTGGCTGTCCTTTCAAAGCCCAGGAATGTTCCCTCCTCCAGGTCTACACCAGTGGTTCCCACCCATATTGGTAAGGCTCACTCCTCATCTTCTTCAGGGATTTGCTTACATGGCTCCTTTGAGTTCTTCCCTGACCACTTGTTTAAATTGCAGTTCCTCTTAAAAGCATTTCCTGGTCCTCTAATGCCAATTATTTCTTTCTCTCCACAGTCCATGTCACCACCTGGCATACTGTTCATTTTACTCATTTATCTTTATTTATCATCCATTTCCCACTAGAATATAAGCTCCAGTGGATCAGCGATTACCACTTACTTTCCTGTCACCCAGGACAATTCCTGAATAGCAGGCACTTAGCAAATCCTTGTGCAATAAATGAACAGCTAACTTGAACATAAAGACATAAATCTATATCTAACAATTTCTAGATCTAATTAATGTGTTTCGAGTGTTGATTTCAAACCCTCTTCTCAGGAGTGACTGAGAAAGTGCCACATATTACCCTAGATGTGTGAGTGCTGGCCTCTGCCCATTTCTCCTCTGTGTATCCTGCTCTGGAGTCCCCTGGACGGGTCTCTGTTGTGGTCATGGAGGGAATTCTTAATTCTGCGGGCAAATGCTTAGACTTTACACTTTGAGTATTATATCTTTTTAAAATATATTTTTATTGATTTTAGAGAGAAAGGTAGAGGGAGAGAAAGATAGAAACATCAGTGATGAGAGAGAATCATTGATTGGCTGCCTTCTGCACGCCCCACACTGGGGATGGAGCCCGTAACCCAGGCATGTGCCCTGACTAGGAATCGAACGGTGACCTCCTGGTTCATAGGTCAACGCTCAACCACTGAGCAGTGCCGGCCGGGCTGAGTGCTGTATCTTTATTAACTGTATCTCCATAGCTCTGATCGTTCTGTTTACATCCTAGAAGCCAAGGAAGGGAAACTGTCTTCTTGTGCTGAGTCCAGAGCCTATCTCAGCTACCAATGAGCACAAAGATGTCTCTAATTTTTTTTCTTGTTTGATTATTTTATGCCTAGGCAAGACTTTTATAGTATACATTTATTCTTTTGGTATAACCCATATTATTTACTTCAGATTCATCCAGGATGGCCTACTTAATATCACTGTAGCTATTTTATGTGTCAGTTATATATAGTAAGGTAAAGAACTCCCACCATTATGCATTGTTTCAGCCAGCAGGAAATTCTGTATCTGGTGGTTCTTGCTGATCTAGCTAAAAAGAGACCGAATGACGCATTTCACTTTCAGGGGCTATTGCTGGGTTTGGATATTCCCTGGTACTATTAATAGCACTTCAGGGAACACTCAGGTACAGTGAGCATTTTTTTTTTCAGTCCAGTTCAATGTTTGCAGAAAGAAAGTCACATGCTGTCTGGTTCAGTTACAAGTCACTTGCCCCTCAGTGCCTCCTAAGTTCTAAACAGACCCACCCAGCGTGTTCAGTTGCTCATAAACACAGCACTGGTTCTCAGCATACTTTTGTGCCTTTGTTTATGCTGTTTTCCCTGCCTGGCCAAACCGCTAATCCTTTAAGATTCATCTTGAGTGAGAAGCCTTTACCTGAGTCGACTTGGTCGAAATGCCTTTTGTCCTTCTCTAGGATTCTCCATAATATTTGGAGCTTACCTCTCTCTTCTACAGCAATTTCAGTGTTATCTTAGAGTCTGCTACATAAGTATATACGTCACACTCCACTCACGTCCAAAATTGTGAATCCTGAGGCATATGACTTCTGTATCCTTGTATCAATCCGCAACAATTAGCACAGTAAATGCTTAGCACCGTTTGTTGAATGATTATGACCAATTGTATGAATGAATGAAATTGCATTCAAGTGGGGAACATAATTCATTTGCATTTGTTCCCAGCGTATTGCCTTTAAAAATATGTGTGTGGCTTGGATTTTCCCCTTTTCCTTAGCAGACACTACTATGTGCATGGCCAATTTGATACAGGGGGGCGGGAAAAGGAAAATATACTGCAGAGAGTTTAAAAATTTTTTTTTTAATTTTAAAGGAACAGGCTAGTTTGTTCCTTAACAAACTATTTGCATCTTTCTTTTTACATGTTCCCTTCGCTCTGCCCAAACTCGATCAAATTCCTCCAAAGGGTCTGCTGTAAACAATGATTTTGTGAGTAGTTGTGTGTTCTCTGCAGTGAAAACCCGCCTTGTTTTCTGTTGCTAGGCAACCCCATTCCAGCTGCCCTTGAAGAAATGTGCGGTGGTGGGAAATGGTGGGATTCTGAAGAAGAGTGGCTGTGGCCGTCAAATAGATGAAGCAAATTTTGTCATGCGGTAAGAGAGAGCACCCACAGCGTGGCCCCTGCCTTTTCTCCTTTCCCCCACCCCTCCCACAAGCCCTGGGGCCTTTGGAAATTAGTCGCTTGTGATTAATCAATTGTAGCTGCTCTTTAGCTTCTCTTCAAGTTCATATACAAGTGAGTTCAGGAGAAGACCAGGGGGGCAAGGGAACGTGTGTGCCCCCAGAAAGTACAAAGCTGAGAAAGGTCCAGGGGTCCTGGCAGACCCCCAGAGTGGGAACATGAAGATTTTATTTTAGATTACACAGTCAGGTGCCTAAAACTTTAAAAATTGTTCTGAAGACTAACCCTGCATGAATAATATTTTAATGTATTCATGTCATTCTATACCATTTTCTTCTTTGCTTTTCACAAAAGCATTTGTGAGTAGCAGGTGGGATTTGAAGAGGGATTTGATCTGTGTCTGAGGAGGAAAACTGGAGGGAAGGCGAGGAGATAAATTTTGAGCAAGGAGTAAGCTTGGAATAAAGGACCGAGCAGAGTAGTGATGTGAGCATCGCTTTCAGCAGAAAACGGGAGGCTTCTGCAGCAGCGAATAACGGAATCACTAAGGCACATCCCACCACGGGTACAGACCACCACACCGTACTGGCACCAACCTGTGCTGTCGGGTGATTTTGACCAGAGTGAGGACAGCAAGTGATTGGATTGACACAATTGGGGATTGTCTGAATGAAAGGAAAGAAGGACGGAGTGTGGCAGCATGGAGGGTCCTGGCTGGAAAGCGTGTGAAGTGACAGACCTAGAGTGTGGGCTGAATAGGAAGGGGGGGACATAAAGGAGAAAGGAAGGGAGGAGCCAAATGGGGCAAATGATGGGGTCATTCAGGGCCTGGCGGGGGGAGGAGGGGAGTGTGTGGTGAGGATGAGGGAGGGGTGGAATGTACGAGCTGAAGTCGAAGAATGGCCTGCTGGAGTGTATAATTTTGGAGCTTACCTTCTCCTGAGATGCTCAGATGTGTTGTAGAAAAAGAAGACATTTGTTATTGAAAAAAATGAAGGCACTCAGAGGATGGAGAGCTGAGCAAAGGAAGCAAGTGGATTTGGTTTTTGTGTTCATTTTGAAGGATAATAGGTAATGGTCTGAATGGGAAAAGGCAGCCCAGAGAACACCACACCACCTCTGAGCTAAGTGAAGCAGGGAGAGAAGAGACTATTTGAAAGTGTTTCAGGAGAAGCCATATTTGTGGGGAGGACCTGATTTCCTCCCAGAGAATGAGAGTTGGGCGTCTGGATGAGCCATCCCATCCTGGGCACACACATGAGCAGCCTTTTGGGAGACTTTACTGTGGGAAAGACACCAAGGGCTGTGGTAGTGTCCTGAGTCATGAGAGTGGCCCCAGGGGTAGGGGGGCTGGAGACCTATTTAAGATGTAGGAGTGGAAACAATCGCCTGGAGAGCAGAGCTAGAACAGAGACCCTGGGTCAGATTCAAGTACTCACTTCAATACATTGGCATTAAGTAGAGGCTGAGAAGCCAGCAAGGAAAATAGAGAGGTGGGAGGGCCCTTGCCACAAACTAGTGTGGAATCTACAGCTAGTCTTTTTTCCTTGGCTGGGCCTCAGCTGTCTAATGTATTTGAAGAAGTGGGAGCAGACAATTCCTCAAGCCTTACCACTGTAGAAACTCCGATTCTATCTGTGATTGTAGGAATATTGTGCAATTGTAACACAGTTCATGTAGTCGTTTAAACCTTCAAATTGCTCTCAATTATAAATTAATTTGCTCTTCCCAAAGACTATGTAAGGAAGAAGGAATGGATAATATTATACTCACAGATTCAGGGAAGTTAAGTGGCTTCAAGAGGTCTTCATGCAATGTCGAAGGAGGCAGAACAATAAATGTCTTTTTATATTATTCTCAAGTGCATATGTGTGTGTCACTACATTTAGGAAGATGGATATTTTAAAGGTTACATGTGGAAGACTAGGCCCAAGCATCTTAGGGGGTTATCTAGGGGGGCCATATTTATTGCAAATAACCAGACTAAGTTGGCTTTGTATATAATCTGGTGTTGATATATTCAAGTTTAGAAATAATGAGTTCCTGTGATTAGAGTCCCAGCACAGTATGAAGAAGTATAATGTTCATAGATGGATGAGGGCAGTGAGGATTGAAAAAAAATTCAAAGAAGGTGGTATTATAGCTAGAGCTATGTGTACATGTACCTTTGATTTAATTTCAAGAATAGTGCCATTTTCAAAATATTTGATTTTTAAAAAATTCTTATTTATGGTTTACAATATGGAAGTCATTAAATGTTGATGAATTATTTTAAAATTATTTTTACTTGACCATTTATAGATCTATTTATAAATGGCTGCTCAATACACACTTTTGGAGATCCTTAGAAAATTGAGATAGTATCATATATTCAAGATTAAGCATTAAGTAAGGAAATTTGATTAAAAAGGACATAGTATATTTGATTAAAAAGGTGTCTGAACAGTTACAGTTACAGTTATGGCCTTACCTGTACACAGTAGTATACCAGAGCACAGTTCAAAATGTCTTTTAGGATTGGAGTATAGCAATGCTATAATGTTCTTTGGTTAGACATTTTCAAATACATCCAACGCCAAAAACCAATTTTCCATTTTTCAAAGTAAACATTGGCTTTGTAACCAAAAATAAGACTTTAAAAAATAATATTGTAGAATAAAATTTATCTGGAAGGTCTGCAAGACAGAGATAAGAGAGAAATTGGGTGGCTCAGGGACACACAATTGTGATGCCTTTGGATATGATAAAACGTGCATGTTTTGCATACTTAAGTACATAAAGTTTAAAAAGCGATTTTAGGCCCTAGCCTGTTTGGCTTAGTGGACAGAGCGTCAGCCTGTGGACCAAAGGGTCTGGGGTTCGATTCTGAGCTAAGGGCACATACCTTGGTTGCAGGCTCCACCGTGGCCCAGGCCCTGGTCGGGGTTTGTGCAGGAGGCAATCAATCGATGTGTTTCTTTCACATTGATATTTCTCTCTTCCACTCTCCCTAAAAATCAATGGAACAATATCCTCAGGTGAGGATTAACTAAAAAAAACGTGCTTTTAGCATTTTTTAAAAAAGGTTGAAGTCATTATGATTTTTTCCAAGGACATATTTTCATTTTTGTTTGTATAGACTGACTTCTTGCTGTGAAAGATGAGTTCGTTGGCCCAGCCACACTGACATGAACACGCAGTTGTGAAAATATTGTGGCCTTTCTGTACCAGTTAGTAAATATCAGCCACTGGACTCTCCCCAGGGCTCTCCCTCTCTCCTGGCTGCCCCATCCCACCCAGGACCAACCCCAACCCCCGTCTCTCCGGGACCCAGAGCTACAGGGGAAAGGGGACTCCGGTCCCCTCTCCCAGGCAACTTCAACACGCACCAGTTCGCCCCAAGCAGCTTAGTTTCCATCTGTTTTATATAATGGCCGTCAGGTAAGGCTTTGTTTGCAGAAAGTATTCAGTGTGAAAACTGCTTGAAAACCCCTGCTCACGGTCAGCCCTCAGGCCCTTGCAAGTTTGCACAGTCTGGGATTTCTGAGAATGGAGGCCTTTCTCTCTAACACTCTAGCTCCTTATGAAGTCAAGTGCACGTCTGCATCCTGGTGTAATTACCTTGCATCCAAATGGGCAACAGACAAAAGCTGTGGGTATTGGAGGCGACCCCTAAGCCGGCTCCAAATCAGATGAGGCTCAAGTGGAGGCGGCAGGAAGGAGTGGGCTTTGCTGCGTGCCCAGCCCTGTGCCAGGTGCTCAGGGTCCAGATCCTCTCCAATCCTATGAGAGGTGTTTTCTTTGCTCCCTTTCCTCCCTCCCTCCTTCCCTTCCTTCTGGATTTACTGAGCACCTGACTGTGCCAGGGGTTGGGGTACAAAGGCAAAGCTAGCATCCCCAAGACCTCACCGCCCCGTGAGAGCATCATCCAGAAAACAGCTGTGACTGGGGTGGGTGCAGGATGCAGGGGGAGCCCCAAGTGACTCAGGACGGGTTCTCCAGTGGAGTGAAAGCCGAGCCGGGATTTGAAGGAAGGGCATTCAAGGTGGAGGAAACTGCATGTGTGAAGGCAGGAAGGCAGGAAAGAGCCCACCTGGTCTGGGAACTGTGGGAGGGCGATGGAGCCCAGGTCCAGGAAATCTGCTGGGTGAGGGTGGGGTCCCAGAACCTACTACCTGGACCCTCTGCCTCCTTGACCTCCTTTGCTCTTGGCTGCCTGGCCAGGAAGAGGCCTCGCCTACCTGCACAAAGGGAGGCTTTGAAGCTGGAGAGGAGTGAGGAAGGAGGGGCCAGCTGGTGTGTATTTTTGGATTGCTTCTCAGAAATCTCCTCCTCCTCTTCCTCTGCCTCCTCCTCCAACACCATGGCAGCTGGGGGAGCTGCCTGTGAGCTGGGCTGAGTTGAGGGGGAGGTGGGCTGGGGGTAGAGACTTCTGCTCCCCCTCTCTGAGCCTCAGTTTTGGCATCTAGAATAAGGGCATGACAACCCAGTGGCTGGCTCCTGTCAACCCAAGTGCTCCAGGAAGTGGAGGGTCAGGCTGGACTCATTAGGGGGAAGCCTGGGAGGAAAGGGTGAGGCTGGGGAGTACCCTGCATCATCCAGCAGCTGGGGGCTGGCAAGACTGTGAGGAGTCATGTAGCCTGCACTTCCCACCAAGCAGCCTGCCCTGGTGCCCACTGCTCTGTCACTGCTGAGGAGCCCCAGGGGAGTGGGAGACAAGGCCTAGGCACAGACAAAGGGATGAATCTCCCTGTGAACCCCTGCAGTGAGAGGTCTAGGGAGTCTCCTTTGCTGGGGCACAGGACATAGCTGTTCCCAGAACCGGATCAAAGCCCCAAAAGGAGGGTCAAGGAGGGGTCTATTTCCTGGGGCTGCTGCTGCGATGACTACAGACTGGCCTAAACCAGCAGGAACATGTGCTCTCCCTGTTCTGGGGCTAGAATCTGAAATCAGGGTGTCTGGGGCTGTGCTCCCTGGGAGGGCTCCAGGGGAAGGTCCTTCCTGCCTCTGGGGACTCCTGACCAAATCCCTTCAATCTTCACATGACCCTTCTTTCGTCTTCTCGCGCCTTAGGATTTTTTTTTTTTTAATTTAAAGATTCCTTGCCACCCTATTCCCCACCCATCTCCACTACCCAATTCAAAGAATATTTCATTTTTCATCAGTTCTATGATCACATCTTTCAGGTTCAGAAGCCAAGTTACTAAGACACTTTAGCCCAGTGATGGCGAACCTTTTGAGCTCGGCATGTCAGCATTTTGAAAAACCCTAACTTAACTCTGGTGCCGTGTCACATATAGAAATTTTTTGATATTTGCAACCATAGTAAAACAAAGACTTATATTTTTGATATTTATTTTATATATTTAAATGCCATTTAACAAAGAAAAATCAACCAAAAAAATGAGTTCGCGTGTCATAGGTTCACCATCACTGCTTTAGCCATTAATGTCTGTTAATTGTGACAACAAGCAATAATGCCAATTAGCAATAATGCCAACTTTGAAACACTTTTACACAATTATGCCTTATTAGAAACAATTTGACTGTCTTAAATGTGCCTTTTATGTAAATCTTTTAATGATCAGTTTAGGAGTTGAGCAGCTAAAATTATAGTGTGGGGGGGCAGGAGGGAGGGGGGTAAGAGATCAACCGAAGGACGTGTATGCATGCGTATAAGCATAACCAATGGACATAAGACACTGGGGGGTCGGGGAGGCCAGGGGATTGTCAAGGGTGGGGGGGGGAAAGGACACATATGTAATACCGTTTGTAATACTTTAAGCAATAAAAAAAAAGTGTTGCTAAAGTCCTACAATTGGCTCCTCTCTGAGGGGGCGTGGCTAGGATCTGGGGGCGTGGCTGGACTCTAGGGCGGATTGAGCCAGTTTAAAGCCCGGCTGAGGTGCAGAGGCCCAGGCTGTGGTGGCGGTTACAAGTGGAGCCATGGAGGAGTGCGCTGGCCTCTGCGGCGTGGGCTCTTCGCGGGGACATCGGTGTCATCAGAAGCGCCAGCGCCCAGCTGAGATGGCAGCGGCCGACGGCAAGCGGTGTCGTCAGGGGTGCCAGCGCCCAACTGAGACGGCAGCGGCCCACAGCAAGCCGGCCCCGGCAGAAAAGCACGTCGAGGTGAGCGCGGCAGCGCGGTGCTGTGCGGGGAGTGGAGGAATCGCGAGCCCCATGCCGCCCCCGCCCCCGCCACCCCCCGCACTGCTCGCTGCAGGACCTGCCGGTGGAGATGCTGGTGGAGATCTTCGCCTCGCTCCCCGGCACCGATCTGGCCAGCCTGGCCCTGACCTGTACCAAATTCCACCACATCCTGCACATCGACAGCATCTGGAGACGGCGCTGCCGCGAAGAGTTTGGCTTTCGTGAAAACTTGCAGAACCTGGAGATGATCGGTATGTCTTATCGAGAATTCTATGCGAAGCTGTTCCCATACAGACACATTTTGGGATTGTGGCAGCTAAATTATAGCTGTAGAACACTGCTGAATGTCGTGGTGGACGGCTCATGCATTACTGGCGGGACGTACAGGCCTTCCCTTAACACCCATGTGCGTGGCCCAATACATTTCAAGCTGTCGTTCAGAATTCGCCTGACGGAGAGGAAACCAGCCGCGGTGGAGTGCATGGCAGGCCTCCTCGGCAGGCCCCACAGCGGCCACATGCAGATTCAGAAGGACAGGCTCACCATCCAGTGCAAGAGGACAGACCACCGAACCGATTCACCAACGCGGCTTAGGGGAGAACGGGGGCGGGGGCGGGTGCAGGAGGACAGACAGCAGTATGACTGCCTGACCTACGGCCGCCTCTACCTCCCGCCACGCCACCCGGACGACCTCATCAGGCCAGGCCTCTTCCACGGCAAATACAATGCCTTCGGCCCAACAACTGTCATGCTCAGCTTCCATGGGAAGTACGCCAGGGTGACGAGGCTCATGGGAATAGGCACGAAGACGTTAGAGATCCACCTCATGCGCCGCATCCAGCTGCGAGACGGCGAGATCTTCCGCAACTTCAACGAGCTCTCCCGCGTGGTCCAGGAGATTGACGAGCAGGTGACCCGGGAGCAGCAGCAGCAGCAGCAGCAGCAAGAAGACGGGACTGAGGAAAGCCAGGGCCATGACTGCAGAGCCCTGCCCAGCCCAGCGTTGGGGAGTCCGGGGCTGCAGCTTCGGAGGAGCAGCCTGTCCCGTTTGTTCTGCCTGTGGGCGTGCGCTCAAGTGACCAGAACTACCCCCGAACCTGCAGGATGTGTTTCTATGGCGTGGACATTGATCCCTTCGCTTACCCCAGGCACTGCTGCCCTGGAGTTTTCATCCTGTTCGATGAGGAACACTTCGGGTTCATCTGGCTGGAGGAGAAATACTTCTTCTGGTACGGCAGAGTCCAGGACACCTTCCAGAATGTGGAGGCGCCATCCCCGCAGGCCTTCCTGGAGATGCTCAAGGACATTCAGTCTAGTTTTATATTTTAATCTGAATAATTCTTTACTGGCATTTTTTTCAATAGTTTTTCTTTGTAAATCTTAAGTGGTTTCCCATTGCTTATAAAATTAAAACAAAATCTTTTCTAAACAGCTGTATTGAAGTATAATTAACTTATATAGATAAACTACTGTTGATTTATCTATTAAATCAGTTGATGAAAAAAAATAAAAAAATAAAAATAAAGTAAAATTATAGTGTGCTTTTTCTGAGAAAGGAGCTACAGGGACGTGTCAGAGACATTGCACTCAAAGAGAAAGTTGTCCCAGAAGAACTTAAAGCAGATATTCACACCAAAATATAATTTCATTATTTTACAGGAATGCATTTATAAAATGTTATTTTTTTTGTTTTAAGCATTTCCCTCTGCTGTAGGATTTGGCAGTCAGTACCTTCAAGTTTTTCTTGCGCGTTTATGGTAGGAGGTATGAAGGAACCTAGACATCTGAGGCATGGATCTACCCACAAGGAACACACAGAAAAACAAAGTATTTGCTTCATTTAATAATGACGAGGCAGGTTGACAGCACTCTTTAGCAATATTCAGATTTTATAGTTTTAATGTAGGCTGGTTGGTTTTCATATGTTATGAAGGACCATCAAGATCAAAGCTTCTTCAAGAGACAGATGTCCAGATTTTAGCCTGTGTTTGCAAAGATCAATTAAATCACAAGACCACAGTCAGCCCACTGCCAGATGAGCCTGGTTGCTAATGTATTAGCTCACCCCCTCCTGAGGGTCCTCAGAAACCACATGGGGTGTCATGTGACTTCTAGGCCGGAGATGCTTCAAGAGCAGGCTCTGGGACTCGGCTTCCCCCAGGCTCCCCACAGTGTTGGTTCTCAGTGGACACTCAGAAGTCACTGACTAGCTGACTAATCTGTGGGTAGCTGCCACAAAAACCAGTATCTCATTACCAAAGAGCAGATGAAAGGAAGACTCTAAATCAACTGAGACAGGGTTCCACCTAGGATGCCCTGATGTGGTAGGAGTCACAGGCTGAGTAAGAGACAACACCAGGGAACTCGAGCTGATCAGCTGAGTGGGTGCCCGGAAAATTCCATGTCCTGGGGAAAATTTGTTTGGGAAAAATTTATTAGTTGGGGAACTGCAGAGACATTAATATTTGTAAGACCTCTTTACCTACAAACAAACAATGCTTTAGTTTGTTGAAGTAATAAAAGTTAGTGATGCCCGGATGTGGTAGAAGTCAGGTTAGAGATATGGGTGGAAAGGAGAAACTAGGACACAGTAATAAAATAAAACCTAGTGGAAACTGTAGATTCATTTGAGATTGTCATAAGTAATAGATGTGTATTTAATTAATTGACATGCTATTTCTGATATGTGATATTTTTGAGCTTTTACTATGTGTGGGACATAAAGGTAGGGGCTGTTTATATATTTCTCCTTTTAATCTTTACAACAACCTTATTGGAAAGGAAGACACTATCTTCATTTGTCTAATGGGGAAACTGAGGCCAGGCTGATGAATTAATTTGTCTAATTTCCCACTGGCAGAAAGCCATGGGATTTGGATTTGCAATTGCCATATTTTCCATTGTAAACATTCATAAGACATGGCCACGAAAAGCAAACCAGAGTGTGTGTGTGTGTGTGTGTGTGTGTGTGTGAGAGAGAGAGAGAGAGAGAGAGAGTTATTTCCATCACCAGGAAAACATACTCTCTTCCTTGGCAGACCTGGGATGGTGGATAATCATTTCATTTCTCTAGATGACAGATCACTACGACTTCACCAGTAGTCAACCCATACACTGGTCATGTACACAAAAGGGGAACATGCATTGATTTAGCACATTATAATGGTACATTCAAGGCAGGTTTTACCCTGAATGTACTATTATAATTTAAAATTTGGAAAAAAAAGGGAAAAACACAAATACAATTCCTCCCTGTCTCTTGAGGTTTAGAGGTGTGCAGAGTACAGTGTAGGCCCTGTGTCCTCTCATGTCCCACACTCTCCTGAGCTGCAATTTCAGGTCTAATACTCCCTGTCCTCCCACTTCAAAAATATTTTGAATGGAATAAATTCATTCCAGTTATTTCTCTTTCCTTTCATAGATCATTTACCTCTGCAGCTGATGTTTTCTTTCTTCTAAAATAGGACTAGTTTGTATGGCAGTGTTTTGAAGGTGCTGATAGTCATCTGATGTCCATTAAAAGGGAGAGGTGATAAAAGTTATTTGTGAATTGAGCTAGACTTAGTAAAATTCCTATTTGTTGTGATAACTGACAGTTTGAAGGTAGGTAATTCATTCTAAAATGTTTGTTTTTGTTTCCCTAGATGCAATCTTCCTCCCTTGTCAAGTGAATACACTAAAGATGTTGGATCCAAAAGTCATCTAGTGACAGCTAACCCCAGCATAATTCGGCAAAGGTAAGCATTTATGACGTCTGTTGGTGAGGGACTAGAGAGGAAGGCTTTTGAAGTATTAAACATCTAAAGACAGTGAGCATAGGAAACAAAGAAGGACACCATCTGGACAGGCAGGAAGGATGAAGAAGGGAATTGTAAATAAACTAGGCAGGATTATGGGAATCCAAACACCATTTCATGCTCCTGCTGGGATTCTGTTTCTTGTCTTCAGAGACGGTAGAAATAACATGAGGACCCATTGTTTTGCTCAAAGAAGCAACACAATATCCTGCTTACTCATTACTACTACTTTCCAATTTGTTGGCTTTGGTCCCAACTCATTGATTGGCATTGATTGTTGAACTGAATTAATATCAGTTTTGTTAAGAATAAAGATAAAAGAAATGATCAATCTACTGCATATGCGTGCATAAAAATAACAATATTGTCAGGATATATAGGAGTGTATGATGATATTATATTATATCCATCAGATATGGGAAAGCAAAATGGAAAATTCTTGCTCTAGTATTGACTCCAGAAATCTTGGCAGCTGCTGTGGGAGCTTCTGTGTGCCAGTCTCTAGTTGATGAAGCCCATCAGTGGGCTGTGTCTCCAAGGACTGTTCATTGTGGAAAATGACTCAGTCTCTGTGAAAAGAGGAGTCAGACGTTGCCGTTAGACTCTCTTGTGTAGCTCGCAATTAAGAGTGAAATATCCAAACATCTGGGCTTTGGTGCTTGTCCTCTAAGGAAGTCCTGTGCAAGTGGCCAGCACTGTGTGTCACTTTTTAAACACTGTTGCACTACTTGTTTTGGCTCTTAAGTAAGTATTCCCATAAAATAGATGTCTAGAAACACAACCGAATAATTTTTAATTTTGAGGGATATTGTGAAATTACCCTTCCAAAATGTACCATTTACTTCTTCTTCAGTAACAGGTAAACCTGCCTGTTTCCTAATCCTAATTATGTATTATTAACCTTTAGATTTTTACCAGTTTGTTGGGTGAAAAATGGTACATTACTTACTTACTTAATATATATTTTTTCTGAATACAAGAGGGGCTGAGTGGGTATTGGCTATTAGCACTTCTATGAATTGCCTATTTGTATTTCTTGTTTATTTGTGCTTTTAAAAATATCTTCCATTTGATTTAGAGGAACTGTTTATAATATAGATATTAAATCTTTGTTTGCTATGTATGTAACATATGTATTCTCCTAATCTGTCACATATCTTTTAACTTATGTCCTGTCAGAACTTAACATTTTTTATGTAATTTGTTAATCTTTTTCTTTATGGTTTCTTTTTATAAAAAAAAATCTTTCCTCGGATGATCTTTCATATCCATATCTCCTCCAATGGAAAATATATTGTATTTATCTAGTAAATTTATGGTTTCATTTTTCATATTTAAGAAATTTAGTCCATGTGAATATTTTTATAACAATAATTTTATTGTTTTCAACAAAGACACGTTCATTATCAGAATTTAAAACAAAAGAGAAAAGTACAAAGAAGGTAAACAACAAATCATCCCAAACCTCCCCATTTGAAAACAATGGTCATTAATATTAGGTAAACTTTTTTCAGATATTTCATATGTTCTTCAGGACTTTGAAGTTATTGTTTTATTATCTTCTTAAGTTCTAGTGTTGCCAATCAGAAGTCTAATAGAAATTTATTTTTTGTTCAAGGGAAATCTTTTCTCTCTCCACTGATAACTTTTTAAAATTTTATTTTTATCATTTGAATTCAGATAGTTTACCAACATTTATCTTAGAATGGGTCTTTTGAAATTCATGTTGCTTAGTACATTAATGAGAGGTTCTTTGAGTTGGAAGACTTGAGGGTTTAGTGGTGAAGATTCTGTACTCTAAGATGACTTGGGTTTACTCCCTGTTCACCACTTACGGGCTGTGTGAGCGTGGCTCAGTTACTTAACACTGTCTCCATCAGCTTCCTCATTTGTAAAGCGGGGATAATACTTTTATTATAGTGAATTATACTACATGTGTATATATATGTATACATGTGCATATATAGGGGCATCCCCCAAAGTGTAAATACACACTTCGAATAATTATAAAGGCAGTGGATGTTAAAATACATTTTATTTTCAAAATTGAGCTATCAGCTGTTAAATTGTGTATACATTTTTGGGCCCACCCTATATGTGTATGTGCATATATATCTATATATCTTAATTATATATAATGCTTAGAACAGTGCCTGGTATACTGTAAGCACTATATAAGTGTTAGCTATCATTAGTATTATTTTTTATCTCTGAACATTCTTTCTCTCTGATATTTGGAAATATGGAAGCATGGAACAATTAGTTTCTAAAATTTCACTGAAGCCCTGGCTGGTGTGGCTCAGTTGGTTGGGTGTTGCCCTGTGCACTGAAAGATGGCCAGTTTGATGCGCATGCCCAAGATTGTGGGCTCAATCCCGGTAGGCAGCCAATTGATGTTATGCTCTCATAGTGATGTTTCTATCTCTCTTTCCCTTTCTCTCTTCTTCTCTCTCTAAAAATCAATAAACTAGTCTTTAAAAATATGTCATTAAAAATAAAAAATGACAGTCAAATTTGTGAATCAATAAATTGAATGACCAAAGATTAGCTTGATACTTACTTTTTAGGGTGATTTGTTTTTGATGTAGCTAATGTAGAAGGAGAAAATAAAACATCACTCTCTTAAAGTTTAATTATTGACTCTCACTCAATTCTTGAATGTGTGTATTTATTTATTTACTATTTTTCATGGGGGTCTGATCAGGAAGTTGGCAGAAAATCACCAGTGATGATGGTGTCCTTTTGCTTCAATTAAGTGTGTTGGGGCTCTGGGGACCCTAAGGATGAGTAGTTTTTAAATTTGGGATGAGTTTGTCCCAGGTTCAAGAGAATGAACAAAAGGGCAAGAGAACTCACAGAAATATTTTTTGATTATTTAAACATCTTTACAAATAATTACAGATACAGAAGAAGTTCCAAAAAAAAGTATGGGAAGTTCCTATGTACTCTTCATTCATTTTCCCCAATAGAAACATCTTGCATAACCATAATATATTACTTTAACTATTATTTTGATTTGGGAATAACTTTTAAGAAGGAATAAGTGTTCTTGTGGAGTGAAATGAGACATCCAAGGGTAAAAGATTCTGTTTCCATAACTTCATATGTGGAGTTGATAGTAAGACTTTAAAAGGAAAGTGAACAAAAATATTTAGAGCAACATTTGGAGCAAGATGAAGGGGGGAGGGAGGGATGGGGAGAGAGAGAGAGAGAGAGAGAGAGAGAGAGAGAGAGAGAGAGAGATTGTGTTATTGAGAAAAATTATGAAAACTACAGGAGAAAGGAAAGGGTAAACAATTAAATACTTAAGAGGCAAAATAAACCTGTTGGTTAAGACTTATGTTCAACATAAACAATTAATACAAGGCAAGCAAGAATCATTATGATACAAATCATTATGATTAATCATTTAGTCAGCATTTCCATGTGCTAGATTTTGTGCTATTAAAAACATTGCAACATTTAATCCTCAAAACAATCCTAATAGGTAGAATATTTTAAATATGTATTTCCAGAAAAAGGAAATGTGATGTGGTAGGTTTAGTCACCTGCTCATACTCACAGTTGCTAGTAATCATTCTGGGACTTCACCCAGACATAGCTCAATCCAAAACCCATGCTCCTAATCAGTTACCATCACACCCGGTGATCTTTCCAGGTGATCCATGCATTGTACAAGGAAACAATCGAGTTTTCATAAGTGACAAGTTATTTTGGAAAGTTTAAATTTTTTCACTTAAAAAATGTATTCAGTGTAGCAAGGTATTTGGATTAAAAATCAAAATGAATATAACTATTCTATTTTGTGAAATAAGGAAATGATATACCATTATAATAGCATCAAGTAATATGATGTACTTAAACAAAAAAGCAAGCATTCTATGGAAAAAATTTGGAATTTTATTGAGACATTTCAGACAACCTGACTAAATGTATGGATATACCATGTCCATGACTAAAAGACTCAGTATTGTAAAGGCATCAGTGCTATCCAAATTGGTCTATAGATTCATTGAAATTCCAATAACAACCTCAATACTGTTGTGTGTGTATAACTTGACAAGTTGAAATGCAGAGCCAAGGATATCAAAGGAGCTCTTGAAGAAAAAAATGGTTGGAAGAGTTACTCTATCAGATATTATAATCCAGTACCTATATATAGCTATTATAATTAAGACAATGTGGTATTGGTGCAGAGATAAACAAACTGATCAGTTAAACAGAACAGGGGCCCCTCAATCAGATCCACATACATAGAGACTCTTAATATATGACAGAGGTAATATTGTAGATCAATGAGAAAAGGAAAAACTTTTCAGAATGATGTTGAGACAGGTGTCTATTTGGAAACAAATGAAATTACATTTCTACCTCATACTTTATACAAAGCATTGTTTCTAGATAGTGGAGACTGAAACTTGAAAAGCAAAATGAAATCTTGTAGGAAACAGCACAGGCCTTGTAATTTCTTAAATAAATAGCACTAATTGAAAGGAAAAGACTGATACGTTTGATATATTAAAATAAGGAGCTTTTATTCATAAAAAGACATGCTAAAAGCAGAGCAAGTACAACCACATTATAGAAGAAGACAACTAACCAAGGACTTGCATTCAGAATATATGAATAACTCATTTAATTTAGGAAGAAATTAATATGAAAATAAAAAATCCCAATAAAAAATGTCAGAACTAGACTTCAAAGCACTAGTCTAAATAGCAAGTAAATGAATGAATATATGCTCAACCTCATTAATAATCAGAAAAATGCAAATAAATATTCAAATGAGGCATTATTCCGTATCCATCAGGTGGCAACAATTGTTTCAGCTTTTGGTGAGGATGTGAAGCAATAGACAGTATCATATATGCTGGTTGGAGTGAATATAATTACAACCACTTTGGAATGCATTTTGACATTATCTAGTGCAGTTGAAGAAG